AAATATTAGGAGTAAATTGTTTGTTAAACATCATCAAAACAAGAAGGCCAACAAATATAGCCTACTGAGGATAGCGGAGTTTTGTTATTCACTTGCATTGTCCTACTTTCAAACTAACCAAGCTCTTTAAAAAATGATGTAGAGTATTTAAACCCCCATAGTTTCCTTAAGCTTTTGCTGATTTCTACCACTAATAGGTTCAGTGAAACTTTTAAATAACCAATATAAACTCTCTACTATCGTTAATTTTATGGTCATTTCAGTCATTCGTCTCCAACTAGATTTGTCTACATTGATTATTAATTTTATCTTGATAGGGAAATACTTGACAAAAAATAATACCTTACTGCGGGTACCTAGCTCATATTGAAAGTATTGTTTGCTAACTTTAATAGCCAACCATTATGCACAAGTAATCATCTACATGAGTTTCTTGATGAAGTGAATCTTTACACACAACAGTTTTAAAGTCACCCTGATCCAACTCACTGAATTAAAATACAGGGAATATTTAAGTTGATCGCAGAACTATAATCTCCTTTCACCCTCACATTGCAATCAACAACTTTGTACATTAACAGTCAATACAACAACAAGGGTAAGTTTACTAAGTACAATGTTAACTCTAATAAACATGTTTTACAGGACAACGTGCGTATTATAGTCCAGCACAACATATATTGGACCACATCACGCGCTGTTGTAGTATTGATTAAGTATCTTTATGGAATTCATATTGTGATCTTAAAAATACGCAAAAATAACGTATAATATAGAAAACCATTGATACTAACTGATAGAGTAGTAAAGTATTTTTTGAGACACCCTTGTAGTTGATATGGTTTTTCTAAAATTAACCCCTGAGTATACGTAGAGACAGTGCATAAGTTTTTTCTTCTTTACTAGGTTTTATTCACGTGCAATACACGTGATTAAATACTATGATTAAGTATTTTTGATTTATTTCCTTACTAAAATTTGTTTCCTAGTTTCACTTTGCTTGTTTTTGCTCACTTATGTCTTTAAACTTTAGTATTATGATTATTTATTTTCTTTAATGTTTGTTTGAATGGGCTACACTAAATTTAAAATTTTCACATTAATAATTGAATTGATAAGAAATAAATATAATCTAAAGCTAATTTGAATTTGCACGTTATTTAGATCGACATGAAACCAAGCTTGACTTGAGAAGGTATAATGTTGTAAAAGTAAAAAACACTTGAAGAATTAGCGTTATAAAAGAAGCATGAATAGTTAAAGCCAATAATCCAAGATGATTAATTAAAAGTGAGCTACAATGAAACTTAAAAGAATATAAATTTTATTGCTAATCATTGATAGACTTCAGAAAAAATCATAAAATAAAGATTAATACTAACTCTAGTACACTTTTATATGATAAAAGCATCCACATAACCATATAAAAATATTAAAAGAGTTCATGAAAACCCTTCTAAAGATTCATGATTTTTCCTCAAAAAATTATGCTATTCTATAAAATATTCAATAAATTAAATTTGTGTTGTATTTATAAAGAGCCTTGATGGAGATATTTTTGTTTTAGCAGCTTGTTCTGAATAAACCCTACATATTAGCTTTGAAGTGTAATATTTTTTCTTTATCATGTTATATAGATGCTTGCTTGGTTTAATTATCATTCCCTTATTTATTCAATAAGTTGTATCTTTCGATTGATATATATTATTAACACAATTTATGATAACGTACATATCTTTCCTATAAATTTTAGAGAGATATAAGGTAAATTTTATGTTTAGTAGCCTTTAATAAGAATTTTAGTTGTAAAATATGTTACATTCATATTTAAAGATCTTAAAATCTGACAGTACTATTACATGCTTATCTTTGATCGTGTCCCTAAAAATTGATCATTCGTTGGTAGTCATATCCCCAAATAAGGTTACTTACAGTACCGTGGCACTATATAGAAAAAAGAAAAATATCAATTTTAACTTTTTTACTTACGCTATGGTAACTAAGTATCATGTGCATACTTTTTATCAATTATAGTGATTTTCCTCATCTTATCTAGCTTATTATATCTCGTAATATAGTTGATCAATGGCTTCACTTTAGTTTCTACTGCAAGATTATTTATATATAATTATATATTAAGTTTATGATTCCTTTAGTATTTTAAGAATAAAGTATGAAAATTTATAAATACTTACTAATTTTTCTTGTATCTTTCATGAAGAATGTTTTTTTAATTAGGGCAAAATTGTTTAATATGTTCTTTAAGGGGAACTCGATCAGTGCTTCTTTGTCAGATTTGTCTTTTATCAATGTCAATTCAGGTGATTCATGAATGTTTTCGAATTTTGAGTTTATTTCCTTCACTTCTCCATTTGAAATGAAAACAACTTAGTTCTTTTAAATGATATCTCTAAACTTTCTGATAGTTTCTCCATACATATCTCATTGTATTTTTTACCCTATAAATATTATTAGCATTAAAGATAAATGTTTAAACATTATAATCAGTTAATGCTAACCTATTATATTATAGTCTTTTATTTATTTTTCTTCTATCAATGGATGTTATTATTAAAATTATATGTAGTTCCTTGAATTTATACAATAATGTTAATTTTTAATCTATCATATATTTTTAAATTCTTATTATTCCTAAACTGGATAGTTTTAATCTACGGTAATTACTATTTTTTTACTGACATCAACTTAGACTACTTTTAGATGTTGAAAAGAGATGATAAATTTTAAATTGAAAGTTAAATTTATATAACGTAATGTTCTAATATCAAACATTTCCTCTTTCTTTGCCAAAATTTCAGCCTTTTTTGTGATTTTGAACTTTTGAGGGTGTGTTTTGTAATTTTTAAACTTTGATAGTATTTTATAAAAACTATTAATTATAAGTTGGGTGCTTATATTTCATATTTCATGTATTGGTGGTAAGTTTTTAAATGTTAGAATATTTCTTATAACTGTGAAAATTTGAAGGTATTTTTACAATTAATAAAATTTTGGGTTGTTTTTAAAAAATTAAATTTTCAATGATCTACTGATAATTTCTAAATTTGATGTGTACAGGTTATAAGTTTTAAAATTTCAGGATTTTTTGTAATTTTTTACTTTTGGGAGAGTTTTTGTATTTTTTATAACTTTAAGGTTATTTACTTTTGGGAGAGTTTTTGTATTTTTTATAACTTTAAGGTTATTTTTTACAAATTTTAAAATTTTAAGTGCTTAATGATAATTCTTGGAATCCATCTATATTGTTGCTAAGTTTTGAAATCTCTAAATTTTAGGGTGTTTTTTTTTATAATTTAAACTTTTGAGGTTGTTTCTGTAATTTCTAAAATATTTGGGGTGTTAATTATAAATTTTAAATTTTTAGATTTCTTGTTTGTTTATAAGTTTTAAAAAGTCAAGGTGTTTTGTGTAATTTTAAACTTTTAAGGATATTATATGCAATTTTTGAAACTTTTGGGGTTTTTTATAATACTTCATGTATTATAATATGTTATCCACGTATAATTTCTTTATCTTATTTTTTCTAAATTGTTGAGTTATAGGTAGTTAATATGGAGTTAATATAAGATATAATTCGTATTTGGATAGATTAAGATTTAAATAAAATATTTAAAATAGCTTTTTTTTAATTGTGGAGCTATAGATAGTTTACGTGGAATTAGATAAGATATGATTAAAATTTAAAAAGATTAAGATTTTAATGATGAAATATCCAAAATAGTGAAGGGTAATATTGGCCATGAAAAGTTTTTCCTAAACTCGTGCTTTTAAAAGGAGTATGATATGATATGATTTCTATATTTAAATATATGGCTATGAGCTTTTCAATCATACATATTTATATTTTGATTAGAATTACATAATATTTGATCATTAGATTTTTTAATTATATATAGTTTAATTTGATGAGGATTTTTGGATGAATATAAGATTGGATGTCCACATGCCATCTTCTGATAGGATAATAATTTAATTTTATGAAGATTCTCAGATGAATATAAAATTAGATGTCCACATGCCAGAAGTTAGAATAGAGGGACGCATATGTATTTATGATATGGCACATGCTAGTTTTTCATGTCTTTATGATATGCCGCATGCTAATTTTTTCATGCCGTTAAGTATTCCATCAGTTTCTCTTTATATATAAAGGAGAGATAAAAAGTAAAGACATCAATTTCTATTAACAATCAAGTAAAAAAAATTCATAAATTTTCCATGCACGGATATATTAGTTAATTTTCAAACATATATAAGTCATGTTCATAAAAAAATGGAGTGGGTCGGAAAAGCAGTAATCTACATGAGTTGAATTTTTTTTTTTTGCATCAGTTTCAATTATTTCTAGCGTACAGATTCTATCCAATAAGCTAACTTATACGCTTTATATTATCTTTAATTATTTGGTAGGCCAGAATGGGTAAGGGGCTGTTTGGTTGTATGTTTTTACCATGTAAAAGGATGGAAAGTGTAAAAAAGTGGGTCCTAATGTCAACTTTCATCACTTTCAATTGTTTCTTTGTAGTTGTGAAAATAGTGTAAAGTGATTTCATATGCTAATGTGGTTTCTAAAGTAATTTCATAAAAAAAGACATGATTTTAGGAGAAAGGTGACATTGAAGTTAGGAAAAAATAATAAAAAATAATTCCAACCAATATGATCATTTGTGTAGGAACCACTTTTTACACTTTCCAAACAAACAATTAAAGTTACATTTACAAACCAAACAAGAAATTTATGATTCCAATAGAATAAAAAACAAATAAAGAAAAATATAAAATATAAAAGTAAAATTGATGAGGTGGACAACAACTTTCCAAGTTGTGTCATAAATACACAACTTTACCAACAACAACCAAACAGCCCATAAGAATGAAATCAGGCCTTATTATGCGTAGTATTCAGACCAAAATATGTTAGTCAATTGGCCCAAAACCAACGAGAAGAGAGGAAAATATATTAGTAAAAAGATCTCCTTCACGTCAGACCAAAAATGTGTCAAAGTATGGATAATGGGCTTATATCTAACCCAACATAGAAAAGCCCCCTGGGCCATAATAACAAGACACCGCAACTTTCCAATCCATGAGCGGCCTCATCCCATATATAAATCCCCCGCTCAATTAAAACACAGAAGCCCTAACTCAAAGCAGCCGCCTCCTTCCTCATTTCCTAGGGTTAGGGTTTCGGTAAGCAGCCGCCTGCAACTTTCGTCCCTCTCCTTTAAAATTAGGGTTTCTCGTTGCTCTATAGTCTCATCGGTCTCTCTCATTTCATCTGCAGGCATTAGATTACGGGGTAGAAATGGCGGTTCCACTCCTCACCAAGAAAATCATCAAGAAGCGGGTCAAGCAGTTCAAGAGGCCGCAGAGCGACCGCAAGATCTGCGTCAAGGTATAATTTTTTGGGGTGGATTTGTTGGTTAAGTTCATCAGTTGGTATGATTCTTCATTGGGAGCTTCAAATGTCTAGATTGATAATATGTATGAAAGTTTGATGTGCTGTGAGCATTATGGAGTGTAATTTTGATTAATGGGTTGCCGAGATTTTTGATTAAAAAAGGATTTTTTTAATTAAATTTGGTCTAGAAAGTTTTTAGTTTTAGCATTTGACACAATGGTTCTTTGTGAGATGATTATTTTCTAGATATGTTAAGGTAGATGCTATCATTGCATTCTTTTAATGTACAAAAGAATGTTGCTTTTTGCTCAATGTGTACTATGATTCTGGATGCCATGATTAGATTTCTTCTTTTTTTCTTGTTGATTTTTAATTTTTTAGTTATATTAATTGTTTGCTATCCTTTTCATTGACTGGTTAAGTTATTAGCATTAACAATCGTTTGTGTCACCAATGGATCTTTTTGAATTTGTGGTTCCTGGCCATTAGTAGTTGGTATACTTTGTATACGATAAAACCAGTCTCATGCTGTGTAGAATTATATATGCATGCTAAAGTTATGCAATGGGCTGGAATTACAATGAGCTTCTAGACGTCTGTTCAACTGAATGCATATATGTAATGACTTTTTTAAAAAGGTTTATTTTATTAAGCTGTAAGTTGTAAAGGGAAGTAGTCTACCAGTTAATTTGAACACTACAGTGGTGTCTACTGTCATAGTTATGTCGTCAATACTCGTTAGTCTGTAGTTGAATTTTTTACATGATCTGACCATGATGTGATTGTGTTTTAGCCTGGTTTGTAGAATTATGTAACGAGTGGAATATTAGTTGTATGTTGTGGATTAAAATATCCATTAACAGTATTAATATGAGTAAGGTATTCTCTTGACACGATTGTTCATACACCACAACATTTTTTAGTTTAAATACTTGAGAAGCCTTTGAAGACATATTAAACATACATTTTATACTTGACTATCTGTCTTTTTTTACAAAATATTTCCTTTTCATTTTTGCTTTTATCTCTCTATCTTTCACTTGTTTGACAGAAATAGAAGCAATTGAACGTTCAACAGTGTGATAACTAAACTATGTGGTAATGCCATTGAACTTTCAACAGTGTGAAGGACTAAACTATGTGGTCATAGATAGATATAGAAGTCCAAACTGCAAACGAAAACCTCTTGATTGGATGAAAAATCTTGGTCATTGGGGAATCTGATGGTCAATGATATTGTTTCTTGCTTTGACGTCATTAATCTACCATTTCCTGTTTGGAAGTTTGTTGTTTTGGTTTCATCTTTAACCTTTTGGCTCTTTAATTTAGACAAAGTAGGCTTGTCATTCATCTTTCATTTTATATATGTTTTGATACTTTTGTACCAATCTCCCTCAAAATCTCCATACAAAGTTCAGTAACAATATATTTCTGGAGAAGTTATTGCTACTCCAAGCTGATGAAGACACAGCCATTATGATTTCTTTTTGAACTTATTCCTAACTAGTTACAATAGTTAATATATGTTAATAGCTACTGTGATCTTTATTTAGCAGAAACAAACATAATATCTGTATTTCCAGATTAGCGCTAAGTATCACTTTTCTTCAAACCCTAGCTGTTTTAGCTTTTGTGAGTAGCACATACCCATAGTTGCTAGTTCATTAGTGAGCATTATATTGTAAAATCTCAAGACATCTACATATTCTGTCAACCTATATATTTTGGGGACATGGTTGTGACCATAATCAATTTTTTAGCAGGGAAAGTGCCTGACTTTTCTTATAAGAGTTTGAATGCAGTTTTTTTTTAAAAAACTGCATGTAATCTTGCAGCAAGTTTGTAGGGTGCGTTTGGCGACCCTTAGGGAATGATTGGGGGGCAACGCCTTAAAATGGGTCTAGGTTTGGCCCTAGTCCCAATTTGGAGAGAAGTGTTTGGGAAAAATTGGGCCAAGAACCTTGGCAAAAAGATGGCCTTTAAACTAGTTCTTTTGTGGGCCAATAGGGAATTGGTCTACAATAGAACCAATTTGGAGCAAAATTGGGCCAAACCTAGGATTGATCGTGGTCCAATTTTTTAAGGGTTGCCAACTGCACCCTTCTGTACTAAGGATCAGTCCTGGCCCAGTTTTCTTCTAAACGTGTTATGTTGTAGACCAACTCCTCCTTGGTCCACAAAAGGACTAGTTTAAAAGTTATGTTTTGGCCAATCTTGGCCTAGTTTTGCCCGAAGACTTTTCTCTCCAAGTTGGGACTAGCGCCAAAAGTAGTCTCATTTTAAGGAGTTGCCAAACATGCCTTAAGACTCTAAATTAGTTGGATTAGTTTTCATATCTAGGTTTATGCATATGTTGCATTGGAAAGTTGTGTTATTTTAAGTTCTTGTTGTCTAAGCTGTCTTTTGTTTCCTGCTTGATTTTTTAAGTTTCTTGCTGTCAAAACTTTTATGTTTGTCTGGCCTACTCCTGCAGCCACTTTATATTTATTTGGTGTACACTTGCATAAATATGGATTTATATGGCGAATACTCATTGTTTGTCTTATAGTCTGATATTACATTGCTTGACCATTCAAATTGTTTTCCTTCTGTAGCCAAGCTGGCGTAGGCCTAAGGGTATTGATTCCCGTGTGAGGAGAAAGTTCAAGGGTGTCACTTTGATGCCCAACATCGGTTATGGTTCTGACAAGAAAACCCGTCACTATCTGCCAAATGGATTCAAGAAGTTCCTTGTCCACAATGTCTCTGAATTGGAGTTGCTTATGATGCATAACAGGTAGGATCTTATTCTTCTTCTCTTGTCAGATTAATACAGGGCCAACCCTTCACTATACACTTTTTGTTACTTGTCAACTGTACTTGTATTCTGATGGTTGATGCATGATTTTGGCATTTGTCAGGACTTACTGTGCTGAGATTGCACACAATGTCTCTACAAGGAAGAGGAAGGAGATAGTGGAGAGGGCTGCTCAACTCGATATTGTTGTCACCAACAAGCTTGCCAGGCTCAGGAGCCAGGAAGATGAGTGATGAGCAGATTTACTGCTTGACATTAGTAAAGTGTTATTCGAGTTTTGGAAAACCTATAAACTTCCATCCTGTAGGATGTTGTCTCTCTTTGATTAGGAGATTTTGTTTCGTTACCGAGTGGTCTTGTTACGTAGGAATGTTGTGGCCGTATTATTTGAAGTCTTTCTTTAAGCATCGTGCTTCTGTGAACTGGAGTTTTTCTACCCTCCCTCTCTCTCTATATATTTGTATGTGTTGCAAGTTTGTCACACCCGTGTTTGGCGTCAGGATCTTTGTTTAGTGGTTTATGTTTTGTATGATTTAAGACGTTCAGTTTTGCGTACTGCGGGAGACTGGAGATGCATGTTGAACGCATGAAGTTTTAACTGGAGATACAAGTTGATGATCGGATTGCTTTGTTTGTGTTTCACAAAACTAATTTAGTCCATACCGACCCATTTGTTCTAAAATCAATTGGAGGTTAAATTGGAGAAAATGATGCGTTTGTCCAACCAAGCTAAAGAATAGTTTAAAAATCATGTACATAAACATGCCCCCCCTATTCGGCATTTGTAGACGTTAAATATTGTACATCATCATAAAAAATGGCTAAAATCATCCCTATTGCTATAAAACTTGAGTAGTTCAATGCAAACATCACTATGGATTTAGGGGGCGACTAATATACACTTATGGCTTGATTTAGTTGCAGCTAACTTTATAAATATTTTCTTTCTTTTCTTGCTCTGCAGGCTTTTGGTCATTTTCATCTGAAAATTGTAGCAGAGTTTGATAAAATATTGACGGTCTCGGTCTCATAAGATATTTGCTAAATTGGTGCTCAAGCCTCTTCATCATCTGAATTGCTGGGCATTTCTATGCCGCTCCACAGAGTTCTCATTTCTCTCCTTACAAGACCCAATATAACAATTAAACCTGATAACCAAGCATCATAAAAGATATTAGTATCACCTAAAAGTTACAAGGAGAGATCAAAATGATACAAGAACAAAAAATTCATTACCTAAGGTGCTAGGGACCAGGTAGAGCAGAGCAGGTTGGCCTTTGCCTTTCATCAGATACAAAGCCAGATATGTAGCGATGAAACCTGGAAATAAAATTTTGTATTGGTCAATTAATAAGCTCTTGAATTTGAAAATAGCTTACAAAATTGTTAAAATCGTGTGTGCGTGATATGCATGAATTTGCTTCCCATGAACTCTTAATATACATTTTCCATTTATACATATTCAAGAAGCAAGAAGCTTTAAGAAAAAGAAGAAGAAAAATACGAAGCGAAAGGTTTCCATATGAGACATATTTACTTGAACATCTACATGGTTGCATCGAACCTACTCAGCCGTGTCTACAAATTTATCCTCAAAGAATTGGAAAGACAGTAACCTTTTTCTAGAATCATAATGTTTTCCCTAGCATTATGACATGTGAAAACTTTTACCACTTCTCAAATTTGACAATATTACCCCAAAAAACAGCAATTTATTTGCTTGCATACTAAGAATATTCCTCTACTTCAACTCCATATTTAATGTATCATCTTCAGATGTTCTTATTCTTTTATAAACCGTATAATCCATTATAGTACTTTTTGGCCTTCAGTCCAGTTCACCTTCCCGCTCCTTCCAAGTTCTATAGACCTCATTTTCATTTCTTTCTTATCTTTCCACATCTGACATGTTATGGCACCTTAAAATTAAAGCATTTCTTGCAATGAAAATTACATGCAACTTAGTAAACTTATTCTCAATGATATTATGCAGGGACAGGCTATCTTGAGAATTGGAAAGAGATAGCAAGAATCACATATAATTCTTGTAAGCAACATTCTACATTTACAATGAGAAAATCAAAATATGAAGGGATTTTCTTTCTCTTAAGGTTTTCTTTTATCTTCCTTTCTTTTATGAGGAAGAACGAAAAGCAAAGTAAAAGGAGAATAATCCTAGAGGTAAAACAATTTATCACTACTTTACAATTTCTTTAATTGAAATGGAAAAAAACCAAAATACGTTAAAAGGATACAAGATCTAGAATGGAGTGAAGAAAACACCTACCAACTGTATAACCAACCAACAGCCACAGAAAATACCCTTTCAAATTAAGTCTCTGCGTCAATTTATCATATCTGCAACAAAAGACAAACTTAATAATGTCAATAGAAAAGTAACTTATAGAATGATACGTATCGATATATATTAAAAATCTCATAAATATTCAAATTACATGCACCAACAATAAATCTGATGCCTAAAAATATTGGCACCTCTATAATCAAGCATACTATCGAGAAGCTCACAGCAGTTCTGAAATTGCATCATGGTAAAGCGGTATCTCCTAGAGACATTAGTATACTAATAGCTAAAGTTATGAGTCCCTATCGTGGAATACTAGGTATATTTTTTTAGAGATTTAAATAAATCTGCAGCAGGATCATGCATCATTAGTTATGCGAAAGAAAACTAAAGCTCACCACAAAAAACCAAAACTATTGCACGACAAAGCCATATCGGCGACTAAAGAACTAAAATTTGAGGTTCGGACATCTTGAATTCACAGATCGGTTATAATCACAAAAAAGGTAGATCCTTCGGCAAACAGATACATCCAAAAGAATCTAATACCTTGTGAACGTTTGGAGAACATCTTAAGGGGCAGTTATCGGCAGGGGTGGATCCACTTGTGAAGAAGTGGTGTCACATGGCACCATTTCCCCATAAAAAAATGCCTTCATTTCAACTCATGGCCATATAAGCAAATAGACCAAAAACAAATGAAATTGCTTTGCTTCACATTCAACCCCTAGCAATAGATAAAATAAACATGTGGGACTCAATAGTGTCCTAGGTTGACTAAGTGAAGGGTTAACATAGTTTCTCTTTAATAATATTAAGAAAGTATATGTTGTTTTGTGTTTGCTTTTGTTTCAGTATTTTTGCTAAGTATCCTCATCTGATAGTCTAATCCAACATGTCCTTTATATCCTATGGGTTGAAGTTACTAAGATGCAATTATGTATTTGACAGTTTAATGATGCGACTATTTGTATTTTTTTCAAAATATGAATTTTTTCAAGGACAATTGTAAATTTTGTTATTATTAATTATATGTAATGACACCACTTTTCAAAAATTCTGGATCCACCACTGGTTATTGGATTGGAGCCTCAAATTATGTTGACACAATAAGAGAGCTAAAACTATGGAAAAAAAATATGATGAAATAATTTGATAAACACAAGCCTGCAGAAAGGAAATAAAGAAAGAATTTACATCTGAAGTTTATGACAGTTTACTGAAGAACCTAGAAAGTAACGAGAGATGGGGACTACATAGATATAAATAATAATAAAAATGTGAGATTTATCCTATTAAGGTGAAGATCAAATTCCTTTCCTAGGGACCAAGTGAAAAAAAGTAAACCAAGACAGATTCTGGCATGTTGTTTATTAACTGTTATATATGATAGCCCTATGATTCAATTCATGGTAGGAACTGTACCGATCATCAAAAAGTTAGGCTCCTGAAGTTAAAGATACTGTTTAATGATATCCCTATCAAACTGAGAAGGCTTTAAGAGATGAGAGTTGTATGCCTTGTATTGCTAACTGAAGTTATTCAACAAAATTCTAGAGGCTAAAAAAAGCATAAACAGTGAAGTTTCATACAAATTTATACAAAACAAAGGAGATAACAAAGCGAACAAGCATTCACAGAAATATGTTTATCTGACATAGTGAAAATCTTGAAAGAAAGTAATTGAGCCAAGACTTGAAAATAAAAATTACTCCAACTGTAAAAATTTTCTATGCTAGGAAGGTCATTGTAAGAGTTATTTACTCACTGAAACAAACAACATGAATATATACGGAGAAGAAGAAATTTCTATAGGGTTTCAGTGACTTAGAAAATCATCACTACAAAACTTTTAATTCTTGCTGATTCTCAAAATGAGTAAAACATCTTTTATGAGCCTCTATAAAAATCATATAAGAAAAAAGAAGAAATGGAATACGTGCTTCAGTATATGTTTCATTTCATTGGTACATTAATTTGTTTGTACTGATATTAACTATAATTGCATGTATTGTATATTGGAGTTAATATTGTTGGTGGCTGTGATAAAAAGGCATCATCAAACTTCTAAGTTTCTAATATTTTCAAGCAAGCCAACCATGTTAGCTACTCATTAGCTTTTTCTTGCAACCCATCTATTACTAGGGTATACCTTAAAGGAAACTCAAATGAACATAACGCTGCTGAAAATTCAAAATTTCACAGTTATTAACAATGCTTCAATAAAGTTGGGACCAATTTTTATTGCAAGGGACTCCAGAAATAGGAATCATCAATCATGTTCCTGTAGCTTGGAAGTTGCAACTGATAGGGACTGGCATGAGCGCTTCGATTCGAATATGATTAATCTATTGTTCTCTTTACTGCCGGAAGGTTTTAGGGGCTGTTCGGGTTCGGATTGATTTGGGGCTGTGCTAGAGCTTTGTTGAAGGCTGTTTTGGTTCAACCAGTTCCAATGACGAGCGAATGTGGGCTGTTTTGGATGAACAACAAAAGAAACTGGGGAGCTGTTTTCTGGAAAATGAACATAGACAGTGGGAGGAGGGGGTTTTAATAAGTAACTATGCTTATCACCTATGGGCTTCAAACTCAGGGCTTCACACCCAAAGACATTTCACATGCCAAGATACAAGCAATTCACATGCTCAAGAATTTTCATAACTCAATTTTGTTATTCATCATGATATATTCCTAATGGAGGATAAATCTTATTTATACAAAAGAAAAAGGGTTAATTTCACATAACCCCCTGAACTATGAGCTGTTGGCATATCCCTAGCAAGTTTGTTTATCTCACATAAATCCGAAACTTGATGATATCTCACACCCCCCACCCCCCCCCCCCCCGAAGCCACTTTTCCACCGTATCCCCAAATTAATCGAAAAGAAAATTTTATTGAGAGCAAAAAAATCCAAAATTCAAGAGAGGGGCTAATATTGCTTGTAAGTGACAAACGACACAGATTGGATTTTTTTCTCTCAAGATAGTTTTAGTTATTTACAAATTACAATTGAGGGGAGAGGGTGAGGGTCCTGGTGAGGAAAGTTCAAAGTTCAGGGGGTTTTATGAGACACCTAAAAGTTCAGGATGGTTATGTGAGATAAACAAAGTTCGGAGAATTTATGTGCAACACCTCCCCAAAGTTTAGGGGGGCTAAGTGAAATAAACCTAAAGAAAAAACATCTAAGCATTTAAGGAAGGAAATTAAAATCACAATCAAGTGAAAACTTATCAAAATTAAAATCTGCAATCAAATAAAACCCTAACTAAACTAGAAGGAGATATCATAATCAAATCGTAAAGAAATCCCAACTTATATAGAAGATAGCAGAGAATGTGAAGGAATCCTAATAAAATCTTCATTAAATATTCATTAGAATCAGATATTGATCTGTTCTGCATAGGAATAAATAGGTTTCCTTTGATTTTGCTGAATATCATGGAGTGACAGAATTATGAAACATAGAAAATCTTGATTATCAAAGAACCAACTGTTGACGTTATATTCCCTTTAAATTAACTGAGAAAATTGCAAGCAAGCAAGCAAGCATTTGTGAAATAATGCTGCCATGACTAGAATGCTCTACAAAAGTAAAGCGGCTGTACCAGGTAACTTGATTGGGGCAAGCATTTAGTTCGTAATGTCACACAGTACAGCCTAATGTAGGATACTGCATTTAAAGCATTAAAACCTCTACACATTAAAGTATTGGAGATCTTTGTTAAATTAAGTAGTAGGTTAAGTATTGGGTATTGGGTTAATAGAACGTTACCCATTAACCTTAACCCTATTGTATGGCTATATATATCTCTCTTATGATCTCAATAAAGATTGATTAGGGTTTTATCTATTTCTACATGGTATCAGAGCAAGGTTCCCTCCCAAACCCTAGCCGCCGCCCTTATCTCCCAAAACCCTAACCGCCCCGGTTACCCATTAACCTTAACCCTATTGTATGGCTATATATATCTCTCTTATGATCTCAATAAAGATTGATTAGGGTTTTATCTATTTCTACATGGTATCAGAGCAAGGTTCCCTCCCAAACCCTAGCCGCCGCCCTTATCTCCCAAAACCCTAACCCACCTCATTACAATCTTTAAGTCTTAATTACTAGTTCAATTTTCGTTAATTTCACAAAAACTCCCTAATTTTTGAGGGGTGAGATAAAAAAAAAAGTTCAAAGGGTTATGTGTTAGCCCCCAGTTCTTTTTAAATTTTTACGACGTGCATTGACGTGTTGTAATTTTGTAGCACAGAGTTCAACCACCAACTATC